AAATTATGTCATATCATCAATTGGTACTGCTATTTATTGTTTGGCTCAATGAATTTTACTTTGGTTTTTCTTCCCATTTGGTCATCATGGACAAAGAAAACTTTTCTATGCTACTGTTATTTTCTGGAAGCAGTCTATTTACTGCACAGATCCATAATTGAGAATTTAGTTTGCCGATGTTAGCCCAAAGTTGTGTGAGTTAATGCCTACTAGCTTTATTTGAAGTACCTAATAGTTAATAGGATTTAAAGTATGAGGTCCAATGTTTGGCTTGACTGGTAAGTTGAACCTTCTACCTCAAAGAATCCATTGCTTTCAATGTCTTATGAAAACTGATACTGCATTGACATTCTTACTTGATAAGGGAAATGACAACTTTTTTATTTTTATATTTGTAGTTTTCCTAACTTGATGTAAAATGTTAGTAGATAGCTATTTTAGATTAATTGCTTGACTCTGTGGCTGTTGATAAGTGTGTATTGAGATTGATTTGTTAGCTTTCTTAGTGAAGGGATTAGTTTTGTTGGTCATCCTGACAAAACCCGTAAACTTACTATCAAGAGGACCTTGACTTTTTGTTCTTGTTCTTGAACTAGGACAGCCCACGTTTATAGAAAATGAGTGTTTGCTGTTAATCTACTTTTGTGGTGGTTACATGCCAATTCCATATACAATTTATGAAATCATTTGATTTCTTCTTTTCTTTTTTCTCTTTTTTCCATTTTCATGTCAGGTTTGGGAAAATATTATGTTGTATGTGCCAATGTAGAATCACAGGTAAAGATGCTTTCAGCTGCTGCTTTCTTCATCATCTGCCTCCTCTTTCTTCTTTTTTGTTGGTTTGAATTTTAAGGTGTTAAAATATATCAATGCATTCTTTTAATTGGTTTGTATGAATTTGTGATAATCAACATATTATACATGGGTTCTTTTAATTGGATTGTGAAATCCCCTCTGGTTGGGCATTCAGTAATATTGACTTGTGATACACTGATACAGTATTGTTGTTCAAGCCTGCCATGGCTCTCATTATAATCAGAGAGTTCTGCTGTATGACAGAACAAGAACAAATAATAATGCATTCTTTTTGATGCACCAGTGATATTATATCTCTGAACTGTGATACAAAATAGGACTTCTATTAGATTTTGCTGACTTCTGTCCAACTTCAGCTTGAATTACACTACTACAGTCATGCTAGGCGGTTCTGGATTTAGAGTGAAGGCATATGGATGTCACTACCTAAGAAATTGTAACTATCACAAAATGTTCACTGATTGAATAGTTTAAAAAAAATGGACTTTGTAATCTAATGTAATAAAAGGCTGGCTTACGCTATTGTCTCCCATGCCCTAGAATTATGACCCAGTGATTTCTGTTTTGAGTTTTTATCCAAGCTTATTTGTTTTAACTTTTTTTTTTCCCTGTTACATTGTTCATTTAATTTTATTTTTTTTCATGGTTTTGCTCTCTCTATTTTTTTTTCCCTTCTAGGTACCCAAAGGATGGGACAAGCTTTATGTTCTCTTCTCTCCACAGAAACGGGGAAAACTGTCAGCAAATCAGGGAAAGCATCAGTACGGAATGGGACGTGTCAATGGACAGAGACTTTGTCAGAGTCTGTCTGGATTTCACAGGATGAAGCTCTAAAGGAATTTGAGCAATACTTATTCCAGCTAGTCGTGTCGATGGTTGATGCCTATGTTGATTGCCATTGTGTCTTTCAATATCGTTTTAATTAAGATTTGACAAGCTGTGTGCCAACCATCATTTTTTCTCACTGGGTTCCTCTTCATGGTCTTAGCAATTGATAACATCAAACTAACAATGTGCTTATTATAGGGTTCAGCTAGATCCAATATCCTTGGAGAGGCTACCATTAATCTGGCAGGTTACATGAGTTCAAGAGCTTCTATTCCTGTTTCATTGCCTTTGAAAAAGTGCAACCATGGGACAATTTTACAAGTGAGTCATCTCCTAATGCTTCCAAAGTTTGTTTTCGGTTAATGATCCATGATGCTAAAACTCTTTTAGTTTATCTGGAAGTGTTGCACATATTTTTGATGTATTTTTGGGTAAATTACAAAGACACACTCCATGAGGTTTGTAAAAAACATGGATTCCCCCTCACATTCTGCAAATTACAGATACCCCATTGTCAGGATTTTTCCTGCAACTGTTCTAATAGAAATAAATAAAATTATCATACTATCCTTATTTTCATCCACCCACCACCCAATCCTTCTCTCTACACCACCACAATATTCTCTGACCCTTAGAGCTAAAACACTGCCTATTCAGATACACAACATTCTTAAGCATTGAACTTGATCCTTAGTGCTCCAACTGGAGTTTGGATTTGTTGGCCATCAACCTAGATTTCATTTGGTTTTAGCAAATAAAACTCTTAGTTTTAACCCCTCATTTGATACAAGAACTTTATCATCTTTCTTCTGCAGGTTGAGATTCAGTGCCTAACTCCAAGAACAAAAAGCAGGTTTGTTGTCTCACACGGGCTTTTTCTTTTTCCTTTATTTTTAGTGTGTGTTGTAAAAGTTTGTTGTTGTCTTTTTTCAGAGCAGAAAAACAGAGACACACAAATATATTATACATCATCATTTGTGATATAATGTAGTGGTTTCCATGACAGAGACATGTCCAGCACCTTCCAGATGGTGCTAGGGCAGTTAATTGCATTTGTCTATCATATGATGAGTCATTCATTACATGAGATAAGTCAAATTCATATTTATGTGTGAATGGTTTTTTTGCACAATGATTGTGGACTATCATGAATTGTTTTGAATGTTTGTTTTTGTATTTTTGTTTTGTTTGTTGGGCCAGTGGAAGCACTGAACAAGATAATTAGTCACTGGAATTTGGGAACAAAGTTGAATTTCAGTGGTGTTGATCCCTGCACCCAGAATGCAACCTGGGCTCCTGATTCTGCCAATCCCCAAATTGCCTGCCACTGCACTGGCACTACCTGCCATGTCACTAGATTGTCAGTTCCGCCCTCATCATTTTCTTTGTACTTCCTATAAACATGGTGGTGTACACGGTTTGGTTCGATTTGATTCTGAATCAAAATCGAATACTGATTTCAACAATTTTAGAAATTTTGGAATCAAATTGATCTGTTGGAACCTATAGAACCGAAAGGAGAAAACTTATTTGGTTTGGTTTGGTTTGATTCTCCAGTTATGGACAATTCAAAATTAATCAATTCTAGCAGCTCAATTTTAGTGCAAAATACATTTTTTAAAGTCACTACTTTCAACACAAAATACACTCAAAACAATTAATGAGCCAACTAAAAGGTTCATATATATATATATATACTCTCAAACTAAATATATACACTGAACGGTTCAGTTCAGAATAAGAACCGAGAGGGTCAAATCGTGAACTAAACCGTTCGTTACTGTTCTTTATTTTTTAAAACCAGAACCAAAGTGTTCCATCTTCCTAGACACTAAACTAGGCATACTTTTTAATCATTAATTTTATTTTTCCATGCCAATACTTTCTTAACAGTATGGTATAAAAAGTATGTTTTGATTTTCATCTGACTCAGGAAGATATATGCTCTTGACATTTCTGGTGAAATTCCCAATGAACTATTCATGTTAAAGGAACTGCAAAACTTGTAAGTGATCACTTTCTTAGAAACTCTTTTTTGGGTTTTTTTCAATTACTTTTATTTGATTGATTTACTGATCATATTTCCTGGTGCAGGAATTTGGCTCAAAATGTATTAAGTGGACCCATCCCACCTGAAATTGGACAGTTAACAAATATGAATTACCTGTAACTAACTGCCACTCCAACTTCCTACATCTTTCATGAATTTCCCAAATCGGGTTTCAAATCATCTATCCCCCTTCTGTCAAAGGGGGATAGATAGATGATGCGAAGCCCTAAAATTGAATCATTTTCACTATTTTTGATGTATTGAAAATTTTTTGGTGGCCTTAGGTGGACTGCTAAGTTGCCTGTATCGTTGAGCCGACTCTAAGGTAGCGGTTACTGTGGTCACCCCCAAATTTGGGCACTTGCCGGTCGCCGCTCCTACCTTTCTTGTCAAGGAAAAGAAGAAGAAGAAAGGCTCAGTAATAGATATCTCTTTTTATGATTGACCAAGTAAACAATTTTAATAATGCAATTAGATGAACTCACTCATTCCAATTGAGGACATATTTGTAAATTATATATTGGTCATCCCTTTTTTCTTTTTTGACAAAACAAACAGAGCGTTAATCGCATTCTATTTACCTGTTAAATCCTGAACTATCGGATAATAACCAGTAACATCATAATTTCAAAATGATCCTTCAGTTTTTGTGCCCCGCGATTCCAATCCAACACTACCACAGCTATTCTGGTATAACATTAACATAAGACAAACTCATATTGGTTATCCCTTGGAATACCATTAACTTAGTTTCATAGGAACAAACTTAGAACTCAGCACTCAGATGCAAGTTTGAGGGTGGGCTTTAGAATTAACATATGGCAGAGTTGGACTTTCTTTTCTTGATAAATGAATAAATATACAAAGAATTACTGTGGGTTTATTTTGATATATATTTTTTATGCAGGTTGATGTCAACCAGGTTAAAAAGCCCACAATGGTGCTTTAGTGGCTGGGAATGAATGCTCTCATTATTTATGCTTTGGGTGCTTGTGACCTCTTTCCAGCAGCTTTGCATGGTGTCTATTGGCGCTCACCAGAAAACAATCTTTTAATCATATTTTGGAGCAGTGGGGCAGGTTTGTAAATCTCCTTTGTTAGAAAAATATTCTTCAGTGCTTAGTGCAATGACTGAGATGAGTTTCTTCATTTATTTATTGTTTGTTTTTGGAGCTTTATTTGTTTAACATTTATTATTCAGTACTTCTGCTTTGAATATTTAATGGCTCAATGCACTATTGATTGTGATACCAATATAGATTTCATATGCACTACCTGCCATGTCACCAGATTGTCAGTTCCTCCCTCATCATTTTCTTTGTACTTCCTATATACATGGTGGTGTACACGATTTGGTTCGATTTGATTCTGAATCAAAATCGAATACTGATTTCAACAATTTTAGAAATTTTGGAATCAAATTGATCTGTTGGAACCTATAGAACCGAAAGGAGAAAACTTATTTGGTTTGGTTTGGTTTGATTCTCCAGTTATGGACAATTCAAAATTAATCAATTCTAGCAGCTCAATTTTAGTGCAAAATACATTTTTTAAAGTCACTACTTTCAACACAAAATACACTCAAAACAATTAATGAGCCAACTAAAAGGTTCATATATATATATATATATATACTCTCAAACTAAATATATACACTGAACGGTTCAGTTCAGAATAAGAACCGAGAGGGTCAAATCGTGAACTAAACCGTTCGTTACTGTTCTTTATTTTTTAAAACCAGAACCAAAGTGTTCCATCTTCCTAGACACTAAACTAGGCATACTTTTTAATCATTAATTTTATTTTTCCATGCCAATACTTTCTTAACAGTATGGTATAAAAAGTATGTTTTGATTTTCATCTGACTCAGGAAGATATATGCTCTTGACATTTCTGGTGAAATTCCCAATGAACTATTCATGTTAAAGGAACTGCAAAACTTGTAAGTGATCACTTTCTTAGAAACTCTTTTTTGGGTTTTTTTCAATTACTTTTATTTGATTGATTTACTGATCATATTTCATGGTGCAGGAATTTGGCTCAAAATGTATTAAGTGGACCCATCCCACCTGAAATTGGACAGTTAACAAATATGAATTACCTGTAACTAACTGCCACTCCAACTTCCTACATCTTTCATGAATTTCCCAAATCGGGTTTCAAATCATCTATCCCCCTTCTGTCAAAGGGGGATAGATAGATGATGCGAAGCCCTAAAATTGAATCATTTTCACTATTTTTGATGTATTGAAAATTTTTTGGTGGCCTTAGGTGGACTGCTAAGTTGCCTGTATCGTTGAGCCGACTCTAAGGTAGCGGTTACTGTGGTCACCCCCAAATTTGGGCACTTGCCGGTCGCCGCTCCTACCTTTCTTGTCAAGGAAAAGAAGAAGAAGAAAGGCTCAGTAATAGATATCTCTTTTTATGATTGACCAAGTAAACAATTTTAATAATGCAATTAGATGAACTCACTCATTCCAATTGAGGACATATTTGTAAATTATATATTGGTCATCCCTTTTTTCTTTTTTGACAAAACAAACAGAGCGTTAATCGCATTCTATTTACCTGTTAAATCCTGAACTATCGGATAATAACCAGTAGCATCATGATTTCAAAAATGATCCTTCAGTTTTTGTGCCCCGCGATTCCAATCCAACACTACCACAGCTATTCTGGTACAACATTAACATAAGACAAACTCATATTGGTTATCCCTTGGAATACCATTATCTTAGTTTCATAGGAACAAACTTAGAACTCAGCACTCAGATGCAAGTTTGAAGGTGGGCTTTAGAATTAACATATGGCAGAGTTGGACTTTCTTTTCTTGGTAAATGAATAAATATACAAACAATTACTGTGGGTTTATTTTGATATATTTTTTTTATGCAGGTTGATGTCAACCACGTTAAAAAGCCCACAATGGTGCTTTAGTGGATGGGAATGAATGCTCTCATTATTTATGCTTTGGGTGCTTGTGACCTCTTTCCAGTAGCTTTGCATGGTTTCTATTGGCGCTCACCAGAAAACAATCTTTTAATCATATTTTGGAGCAGTGGGGCAGGTTTGTAAATCTCCTTTGTTAGAAAAATATTCTTCAGTGCTTAGTGCAATGACTGAGATGAGTTTCTTCATTTATTTATTGTTTGTTTTTGGAGCTTTATTTGTTTAACATTTATTATTCAGTACTTCTGCTTTGAATATTTAATGGCTCAATGCACTATTGATTGTGATACCAATATAGATTTCATATCAGATCCTTGTTCTGTATAATATTGGAGAGAAGTGAAGATATAATAGATTTTAAACAGGATATAATTGTTGTTCTGGTCTCAGGCTCTTAAGGGTGAAAAGAGATAAATTAATACTGAGCGAAGTCTATAAATTGAATAGAATGTTTTGTAGGACGTAATAGATACTAATATAAGTTGCAGCATAAAAAGAGATAAAATAAAGTACATTTAGAACCTGTACGTAACACATTTGTTATAATTTCTTCTAAAAAGCTCTTCCTTGCCTTTGCTTTATGGAGAAATCTACACAACTTTGATATTGTGCATTAGAGTAGATTTTTTGTTATGCCATGTTTCATTTCAGATTGGCTTGTGTTATTCTTTGCCTGACTAGAACTGAAGGCTTCTACGTCATTCTACATGGACTAAATTCTTAAAAGAAGCTATTATTTATCCAGCCCAATAATATTAATAATTTCTTTAATTGAACTATTTATTCTAATAATATTTAATAATTTCCATTACTTATACTAATGTGAACCCAGCTCAATATTCAACAAGAACCATCTAGAATTAATTCCTACAGAAGAGAAGGGTACAATGAGACCGAAATAGTGCAACTTCTGAGCCAAACCCACATTCAATCACTGAGTTCACTAAGACCTGGGCAATTCGTCAATGAGAGTGAAATCTCAATGCTTCACATGTTTTCACCCTCATCAAACTATCAAGTCTGTATTGAAACCCATTTCATGAGTTGGGTATAACTGGGTTAATTAATTAGACTGGCTAATAAATTGTTTGAATCGTGTGGTTGTAGGTTCAGTATCTTAGCAGTAGCAGCAATGGAGGTCAAATTGGAGCTACCACCGGAGGCAATCACCTCTCCCTGTCAATGAGCAACAATCAGCAAAGGCCGTTCATCAATCCTCCGCAACTATTTGCAACTGCTGCAGCATCATCAGGATTCCTACAGCAGATAACTACCCGACCCCAAAATTGGCTACACTAGAAAATTTGATTTTACTCTCTGATGAGGCCCTCTTGACCCAACTTTTTGCTTTTTGTTTTTTAAATCTTTATGTAACAAGGCCTTTGGAGTTTGTAAGCATGTAAAGATTAATGCTTTGAGCTTAAATTTCTTCGTTTGTGTGTTTCTAAAACCGTACATATGTATTATTATTTAGGCTGCCTTCTTATTTATTATTACATCAATAGGTCTTTGTTCATATTACATTTAAAATTTAAGAAAATTAAAAAAAGGGGATATCACGGCGTTTCTGAAAACGCCACCTAAAACTCTAAAAGCTAACGACAAGTTTTTTAAAAAGATATGGCGGCGTTTTGAAAATGTCGTTAAAATGATAGTGACGTTATAGTACCTTTGGTGGGATATTTGGCGGTGTTTTTAAAAACGCTGCCTATAGTCATATAATGATGTTTTTTAAACGTCATAAAGCTATAGTGACGGCCGCAGCATCGGCGTTTGATATTAAACGTCACAAAAAGAGTTAACGACGTTTGTTGTACCTATAGCGGCGTTTTTTAGCAGATTTTCCAGCAGTGAAAGTGAACTCATAGCAGCTCAAATTGTGAAGCAAACTGTTGCTAGAAAGTGATATTGCTGCACAAATTGTGATGTTGCTAGAAAGTGAAGTAATGGCTTGTATGTGTGTTCAAATCGCTTGCCGACTGGAAAGTGATGTTCAAATTGTGTGTTCAAAGTGTTCAAATTGGCTGGAAAGTGATGTTCAAAGTGATGTTCAAACTGCTGCTATATGTGTGTTCAAATTATGTTCAAAATGTGTGTTCAAACTACTGTTGTATGTGTGTTCAAATTGTGTTGTTGCTGGAAAGTCAAGTAATGGCTTGTATGCGTGTTCAAATGGCTTGTGAAGTAATGGCTTGCTGGAAAATTCTGTGTACCTGTGTGTTCAAATGTTAATGGCTTGCATGTGTGGACCAATGTGTTAATTTAGATGGACCAATGTGAGCAAACTTCACTTGATGTTAATTTACACTTGATGTTATATTTCATTTTCTTCTGATTGATTTTTAAATGGACCAATGTGTGTGTTCAAATTTTTAGATTTTGTTTTGTGTGAAAGAATAGGTACATAGATTTGCAACAGATCTGCCAAATAACATCCATAGATTTTCTTGTGTGAAAGAACAGGTACACAAATCTGCAACAAATCTGCCAAATAGATGCTTGGATGCAATTTTGTTTAGATGCAATTTTGACGCCAAACATATTTGCCAGTTGATGCAATTTTGTTTAGATGTTTGGGTGATGTTCACTTTTGTTTAGATGCCAAATAGCAGCCACAGATCTGTAACAGATCTGCCAAATAACTTACATGTGGATGCAATTTTGTTTACATGCAATTTGCTGCAATTTAGATGCAACACAGATGCAATTTTGATGCCAAACAGATCTGCCAGTTCATGCAATTTTGTTTACATGCTTGGGTGATGTTCAATTTTATTTAGATGCCAAATAACAGCCACATATCTGCTAAATAGCAGCTACATATCTGCAACAGATCTGCCAAACAGATCTGCAACAGATAACAAATGCAATTTGATGCAATACAAATGCAATTTTGATGCAATACAAATACAATTTTGATGTAATACAGATGCAATTTTGATGCCAAACAAATCTTCAACAGATAACAGAACTTGTTCATTAGACCCAAAGCATCAACAAACAGCATCCACAGATCAGCCAAATCTGCTTTAAACTTGCTAACAGATAATATTTGAGGCCACAGATAAGTGACAAACAGATACTAGTTGACATATAACAGATCTGCCAAATCTGTTCATTAGAAACAAACCTGCAACAGATAACAGAAGTTGTTCATTATAATCAAAATTCATTCACCAAAATAACAAAACTTGCAACAGATAACAGGCCACAGATAAGTGACAAAGCATCTACAAAATTCATTCATCCACAAAGCATCCACAAAATTCATCCACAGATCTGCCAAATAGCATCCACAAAACTCTAACAATGAGAACAATGTTTCCCAAATTTCATTCCATAATAAAATTCTAAGTTACATCATAATAACTTATAAAACTCATTTCATATATTCATTCCATAATAAAATTCATTCCACAAAACTATTAAGTAAGTTACATAAGTTACATCATAATAACATTTATTCCATAAACATAAGTTATATCATGAAGTACAATACAACCAAAAATGGTAGAAACTTTTATTCAATTTCTCAAAATACAATAAAGTACAAAAGTTACATGATAAAGTACAAAATGATAGAAAATATAATGAAATACACCATTGCTTTGATATTATTTTCTATCCTTTCAAGCCTTCGACCAAAGTCATTTTCCATGTCATGAAGCCTCGTCCTTACATCGTTAAAGTCTTCTACTGTTATAGCATCACAAGCTCTAGCGTTGGAACAGATTCTCGACGTAACGTCTTCATCATCTTCATCCACGAACTTGAAGTAATTGCAATGGGGAGTGAGAATGTTACTCTACAATGCATGACAATCAGTTAGTTAAATAAGACAAATATTAATGTGACTACTAAAGGATTAAAATTTCCAATACATACTTACATATTTTGATGGGCAAACAAAGAACAAACGCCCTTGATTTCCATTCTCATTGGTTCTTACAATATATATGGCAGCGGTTCTTCCACAATTGCACAGCCTCGGTAGTAATCTTATGTTGCTAATGTTAGAAGAAGAAGCCATTTTTTAAATCTGTATACATGAGAAACATCTATTTGTGTATGTTCCATAATAAAATTCTATGTTGCTAATGCTATGCTTGTGTTTGATAGGGTTAATAGCAATTCTATTTGAATTTGAGGGACACAGTGTATGTCATTACTGCTAACATTGTATTTGTTCAAACTGCCATGTTTAATAGCATTTGAATAGAGGTTGCATAGACTAAACTATTAATAGCATTTGAACAAACATGGCAGTTCAATGTCAGTCATTTTCTTCAGTTTCAAATATAGCATTTGTGATTAAGACTGAAAAGAGGTCATTTTCTTCAGTCATTTGAACACACATAGCAATTTCAAACTGAACAAACATAACAGTTTTACAAACATAGCAGTTCAATGTCAATTCATATGCAGTTTTACAAACATAACAGTTCAATGTCAATTCAATTATCAATCACACATGTTACACAAAATTATGCATCTTGATAATTATCAATCTACATAATTATGATTCCATGTTATCAATTGGCATAATCATACTATTTATCAATCATACTATTTATCAATCTGCATAATTATGATTCCACAATATGCATATATGATTTCAAAATTTAGCTACTGTAGTTCCACATTTTAATGATATATGTTCAACTATTTATCAATCTGCATAATTTGGCTCCGAAATGCATATTTGTTCCTCACAATATGTTCCATATTTATCAATCATACTATTTATCAATTTGCATAAGAGTAATTTTGAAAGCCCTAATTTTCAAATCTCAAATCTATTTTATCAATCACAACCCTAACCTTTTGATTTCAGTGTTTCGAGGACGAACCTGGTTCATTTATGGCCTGAAAACCCACGTTCTCCTCAACAAATTCCTTCGCTCCAGCCGATGGTGGTCGCGGTGGAGCTATGGTTTGTGAAGCAGAGAAAAAGAGGGCTACAGCGGTGGGTTGGGTTTACGAGTGGGTTGCTGTCGGGAGTGGTCGCCGGTGAGGCTGGGTTTGGTACAGGAGGAGTGAGTGTGAGAGTGAGAGAGATTGAGAGTGAGAGTGAAGTGTATACTCTGTATAACCTGTATAAAAAAACGGGAAAGTGAAAATTCAATTTATTTATTTATTTTTATTTTTTTTATGGCCGTTGGATGTGCAACGGCTGATCTCAACCGTTGGATGTGCAACGGCTATTGCAAGGAGGGCTTGCAAGGAGGGGATCCGGACTCCCTCCAAACAGCACCCAACCCCATCGACATCAGATAAGTACGTCTCCAGTCATACGTAATCAATGACGTCATCCTTTCCTTTATTATAGTACCCTTCTTTCAAGTCTGTAGAACTCTCTCGCTCTCAATACCCAAAAAATAGAAGTATTAAAAGAGCTGAAAATGACTTCATCTACTATTATTTAATGAGAGAAAATGATAGTACTGACATGTGCAATTTTTTATTTTTTTCCCCATTTTCTAGTAGCTATAAAGTAATTACGAAAGAAAGTGGTCTCTCTGGGTTTGCTCTCCATCTTTAAGCAAGATATTCATCATCTACGCAGCCAAAAGCAAGCGATCGTTTCAAATGTCTACAGGTATGTTTTTACTTGTATAGCCTTTATTATTAATTAATTGGAACATGATTGTATTATAAGGTTTGTTTAACAAAAATTAATCGAATTTTTAATTCTAACAGAGCACCCTGTTAAGGCATTTGGATGGGCTGCCCGCAACCCATCCGAAGTTCTGTCTCCCTTTAACTTCTCCAGGAGGTAAGGGTTTTTTTTTAAAAAATTTTTAAATTTTATTTATTTCTGACTTGGAAAATATTTATATTAAAACAACAACATAGAAACAAGGCTAAGGCCCTGTTTGGTGCAGCTTAAAAGCTGTTTATTTCAGTTTTTAGCTTAATTTAAACTATTTTGATGTGTTTGGTTTAGCTTATAATTTTTTGGAAGTCAGAAATCAACTTATTCTTTGAGTGGAGCAGGAGATGCTTAATTTATAAGTCAGAAATCAGTTTATATTCATAGTTATAAGCTATAAGCTGTTTAAGCATAAGTTATAAGCACTTTCCCACAGCTCTACCAAACAGGGCCTAAAGCGTCATACAAACATGTTGTGTTTTGAGAAATTGGTAAAAAAATAATTTTTAAATTATTTTTTGTGATTTTTGGGCTTTTTGTGTTAAAAGAGTTGGCTTTTTTTTGTGTAAAAAAGTTAAAAAATTATCTTTTGTGGAAGTTCTCAAAACACCCCATATAAGCAAAATGGAAAAAAAAAACAAAAAAAAAAAACAAAAACAAAAACAAGCAAACAAAAAATAAATTTGTCCAAAAACAAATCAGTTATGATATAAGAAAAATATCGATCTTTTTGAAGATGTAGTCCGGAAAGTAAAATGTACATCAAATCAAGCAAGATCTTGAAAGCCCACCGACGTCGATACGTCCTCGTCACAGCTGCCAATTCCTAATTCTTGCCACTTTTTCTTTTTCTTTTTCTTTTTTTTTTTGGGGGGGGGGGGTTGAATAATTTGTTTGGGGAGTTGATAATCATTTCTATGCTTATAAAATCATTTGGAACACTCCGTTTGGATCAACTGATTTGATAAGAAATAAAGAGGAGAATTTAAGGGGTGCGAATTGATGAAAAATAGTGACATTTTGTAAGAAAGAGAACCCTTCATAATACTCTGTTTATAAATTGTAGATTTCATTTCTCACCAAAGTGGTGAGATTATAAACTTTTTCATAATACTCAAACTGCTCATTAAAATGCAAAACATATAAAGAAAAAAAATGTCACCCATATTCCAATTTAAATATAAAAAAATGATTAATCTCCTAATTTTGTCCCCAAGTTCACCCAATGATGTGGAATTAGAGGGGTTAAAATGGGAGAGAGAAGTGTGGGACCACATACAAAATTTGGTAGAAAATTTGATAATTTATTTGGGATCCCTATTATCACTTGGACTGATAAATATAATAGTGAGAAAAAACGTAGTTTTTTTTTTTTTTTTGGTCATTTAGACGACAGACAACTATCATTCATTTTCTTTTTCTCATCCCGTGATCCAAACCATATTAGGGCATCTCCAATGGAGCTGCTATTCAACTTGTCAAAGCTAAAATTTGACAAGAATGACAAAAAGAGGGTTTCCAATTGCATGCTATTCTATTTGCCAAAGATAGCAGATGCCATTTCTGTTCTCAAATTTGGCAGGCTGAATAGCAGCTGCCAAACTTGCCAGATCAGCAAATCTCAACAGATTTTTGGCACCAAATGCAGTTGAAGAAACAGATTTGAAACAATATAAAACCCAAAAAATTCAGAATCGAACTCAAATATCATAATCAAACCCAATTTACAATTTTTTTTGCCAAATTCACAAATTTCAGAATAAATTTGACAAACCCAAATTCAATTTCTCTTAAAAAAAATCTTTTTAATCATTTATCACCAAATCAGTCAATCAAAATAGAGTGTCAAAATTAGATGGATATTATCACAATAAACCAAAGCAAAATAGGCTTGAGTTGTTTGAAAATCAAAATAAATATCAAAATAAAATCAATGGATGAACAAAAATTAAACCAAAAATCAAAATAAATAATTACGAAAAATCAGGAAGTACAGACCTGAGTTCTTTGAAGATATGGAGATGATTGAGTTCTTTGAAGATCTGGTTTGACGCCATCGCGAGACTTGAGTTTGAAAAATCGCGATCACCTCCACGTCAACAGCCAGAAAAATAAACAAAAAATCAAAGCATATATATATAAGTATGTATATAGATGGAAATCGTACTAGAGACGGCGAGAGAGGAAATAGGGGGGCGAAATGAGAGAGAGAGAGAGAGATCAGTTTGAGGAGAGAGAAGACAAAGTGAGAGGGAGAGAGAAGACAATGCGAGAGTGAGAGAGCGAGAGTGAGAGATTGGTTTGGAAGAGGGAAGACAGTGCGAGAGTGAGAGAGAGAGAGATCGGTTTGAGAGGAAAAATAGAGTAAGAGGGAAGACAGTGTAAGAGTGAGAGATTGGTTCGAGAGGGAAGACAGAGTGATGAGAGGGAGAGAAAAGATAGTGTGAGAGTGAGAGGGAGAGGGAAAGGATTGGATGATTCTAGAGAATCATCTCAACCATTGAACATATAGACGTGGACGGTTGTGATCTCCCCTCTGCACTTAAAACGGCCGTTGTGCTCTGTTTGTTTTTTTTTTTGTAAAAATAAATAAATAAATAAATAAATAATTTTTTGTGACAACAGCTATCTTCAAATATTTTTTTGTGTATTTTCTACAAAAGAATGTAATATTATTTTTGCAATGTATAATGTTGACTATTTTTTAGTATAATTTAATTTTTTTTCAATAAAGTATAATGAAAAAATAAATATATTTTTTCAAATGAAGGAAATGAAAAGATAAAATACATTAACTGACATTAAATGAAGATATTTTTATTATAATAAAAAGACATTAATGACATTAAAAAAATTGGTGACTGTTTATTTTTTATGTGTAGTTAAAAAAATTTATTAAATATGTAATGATATGTTTTTCGGTGGGGTGAATTATATTTAATTTTTTTTTTCCAATTTTTTAATTTTTTATATTTTCCTAGTCAGGAATAATATAAATATATAATTTTTTTTACAAACAGTTAAAAAAAGGTCAAAAAAGACAAAAAAAGGTCAAAAAAGACAAAAAAATAAATAAAAATAAAATCACAAGAAAACCTATATCCAAACAATATTTACAAACTTAAAGGGAAATTTGGTTGAGATTTGCCAAAATAACAAATGACCATTGGAGCACTATTGCTATAATTTGGCAAAATAACACTATTCATTGTCAAATTATAACAATAGCAATGACATTATAGTAACAATGGTTGGAGATGATCGTAGTTTGGGTTATATTGTTGTGGAGGATGTTGACAGTGATGGATATGATGATGTTGACGGTGATGGTTGCAGGGCGACAGTGGATGAAGATGTTAGGTTCAAAATTCTGTACTGTGGAATCTGCCATTCCGATCTTCACTGCGTTAAGAACGAATGGGGCATCTCCGAGTACCCCCTTGTCCCCGGGTATGTTTCCAAAAACCCCTCTGTAATATATTTCTTGGAGTGTATTAGTTTGTGCTTTGGAGGATTCTGATGCTGATCCTTGTATTAGTCTCTTCATATTTAAATTGCTGATACAATCAGCAGAATTTTATAGAAATTAGAACTGATAATTCGAGATTTATTGGTGTAATTCAACAAGTGTACTTAATTGTGTAGTTGTGTACGCAAACTTGTCCTATAACTGAAAAGAATTTGTGAAGAAAATGGTGCTCTCTCATACACTCAACTCAACATACCTTTGTCACTATTACTTGTGGAAAGCACTAGGAATTCAGATGCAATGCTTATTCATGGAACTTATTTTTCCCATGTGTAATCGAATTGGAAGGAGGACATAAGAACAAGCGAAAAAAAACTAGAGCTGGCTTTGTTGTTTGCTAGTCTATCGCGTGACAATGTCTCATTCTTTCAGTTTCCATGACCCGTGTGGACATTTTTTTGCACTGCAGACTGCTATTACAAATGCATATTAGCTCACTTATAATGGAATCCTCAAATGTAACTGCCAAATGGTATACATATTGGTGGTTGTATTATTTATGATATTTATTAAAGTTTTTAAACTACACACACATATATTGGTTTTATATCTAAAGTAAATATAAAATTTGCACCTCTTAATTTTTCTGGCTCTGCCATTTTTAATAAATCTACACCTGTTTTTGACTCTGGTTCACATTAAGATGTCAATGTTACCACATTGATTTTTTATCCTACTCCTTTAATTGCACCTGAAAAGATGTTCTGATTTTAAATTTCTAATAACTCATTTAGTCACACTTCGACATACGTGCGTGAATACAATTTATATATGTAGGCATGAGATTGTGGGTGTAGTGACAGAGGTGGGTAGCAAGGTACAAAAGTTCAAAGTTGGAGACAAAGTTGGTGTTGGTTGCATGGTCCATGTTAGAATATAATATGTAAAGTGTATGCTTTCCCCTTTCGGTGGCCCTTTCCCCTTTCGGTGACCACTTTCCCTTTAGGCCATGATGTTGTTTTGTATAGTGTATATACCACTTAGGCCATTTTCTCCTATATAAAGGAGACCGTATACAACATTCAATACATCAATCATAATACTATCAATTTCTCTCTCTATCATTTTATCTTACATGGTATCAGAGCTATAAGATTTAGGCCTGTATTTTGTTTTCTCACCGGCGGGCAGCCGGCCGACAACCTTGCCTTCGCTGCCCGCTGGAATTTTAGAAACAGAGGATGAACCAGAGGGTGAAACCAAGCCATGCTCTGTCTCTGTTTTCCCTCAACAACAAAACAAAACAAAACAAAAAACAAAAAAAAAAAAACAAAAACAAACAGGGAAACCCAACCTCTCCCTTCTTCTTCTCCGATCAGATCTCAGCCAAATTCCTCCAATGGCGACATCAACCCCACGCGAAGAGAGCGTCTACATAGCCAAGCTGGCCGAGCAAGCCGAGCGCTACGAAGAAATGGTGGAATTCATGGAAAAAGTCTCCTCCACCGTCGTCGCATCCGAGGAGCTCACAGTGGAGGAGCGCAACCTCCTCTCCGTCGCCTACCAGAACGTGATCGGCGCTCGTCGTGCTTCGTGGCAGATCATCTCCTCGATCGAGCAGAAGGAGGAGTCTCGCGGCAACGCCGACCATGTCTCCACCATCAAGGACTGCAGGTCCAAGATTGAGAACGAGCTCTCTTCGATCTGCGACGGCATTCTCAAGCTTCTTGACACCAAGTTGATCCACCTCTACACCGTCGGAATCGATATCTGCCTCGTCGGCGACTCCGCCTCCATGGTTGTCCACGGCCACGACACCACCCTTCCGATCTCTCTCGACGAAATGCTCGTCCACTGTGCGGCACCTTCAAGAATCTCTGCTGGACCCAACAATTGCTGTCACCCAACACACCATTCCCACACCCACGGTTTAAAGAGAGACAGCACACACACATAACACACCACACACGGCATCAACCTCCCGGCACCTCTTTCTCTGCAACTCCCTCTCTCTAGCTCTCTCTCTCGGCAGAGGGTTGGAGTACCAAAAAAAAAAAAAAAAAAAAAAAAAAAAAAACTCCTAAAAAAACAAAGGAAAAGGTACATGGGACATCACCATACACACGGACAGCACACATTGAGACATGCATCCAATGACTCTTTCTCTCACTTTACACCCACTCTTTTCCTTTCTTTTTATTTTAATATTGCCCACCGACTCTTCTTTTATTTAAACACAAAACCACTCTTATTTTTTTTTTATTCCATTCTCCCCACACACAGCTCCCAACACACCCAGCCTCCTCTGATTTTTACTTTATTTTATTTTATATATATATGTGTGGGTGAAAATCTGACCACACTGCCCGTTTAGTGATCAGCTGGAGAGCACAGGCAGAATAGATGGCTTTAGCAACCTGTAACAGAAAGAAAAAGCTCCGGCGGTGGTTCTTCCACCCGGGGGCACTCCGACGATCAAGTCAGTATATCTCTCAAAGATAATCAAGTGCTAAACTGAATACTCAAAACATAAATTGCATACTTTAGACCCATGGGGGTGCCTCTCTTTTATAATATACTCAATCCAAGTCCCACTAGAAGTATGACTTCTATGAACTTCATATCAATGTTTACTTTGGACTCTTTAAGAGATAATTTCTGTCTTCACACCTATTTGAGTTTGAGGGGGGGTTATACACAGTATCATGTATAAGTCACTCATGGCGCACTCCCTAAGTCGCCCCCTTGGTGCACCACCACAACCTTCTACAACGGTCTGACACGACCACACAGTGTTTGCTCAGCTTCTACAACGGTCCGACATGACCCCGTAAACTGTCCCGACATTGATTCCGGTTAGCTGCTACAACGGTTCGACACGACCATACAGTGTCTTCTATACCGGTCCGACACGCGCCATACAGTGTCTTCTACCCCGGTCTGTTCCAACCATACAATGTCTTCCACACTGGTCTGACACGACCATACAGTGTCTCCTATCCTATTTTATTTTATTTTATTTTATTTTACACAGAGAATGAATTATGTATTGATTGATTATATTGAATGTTATATGAATAAAGAGGTACACTCTGCGTTATATAGGAGAGAAAATTACAAACATCATCATGCCAAAAGTGGATCCACTAACCGAAAGTAAAGGCACTAATCTAAAGCCTAAAGCACTAACATAAAATATATTAACAGCCCCCCTCAAACTCAAGGAGGATAGGTACTAGCCAACTTGAGTTTGGAGAGGATGGAACCATGACATATGGAGGCTATTCTGATCACATGGTTGCTACTGAGCGCTATGTGGTTCGGATTCCTGACAATCTGCCTCTTGATGCATGTGCTCCTCTCCTTTGTGCTGGGATCACAACTTATAGCCCCCTAAGATATTTTGGACTTGATAAGCCTGGTCTGAATTTGGGCGTGGTGGGTCTAGGTGGGCTGGGCCATGTAGCTGTGAAGTTTGCCAAGGCTTTTGGGCTTATTGTCACTGTGATCAGTACCTCTCCTTGCAAGAAGAAGGAAGCTATTGAACATCTTGGTGCGGATTCATTTCAGATTAGCACTGACCCTAATGAGATGCAGGTAACCATTTTTCCTGCCTTATATATGATATTATAACTTCATGGAGATTCTTGAGTGTTTACTTATATGTTGAGTTACATAGGCTGCTATGGGCACTTTGGATGGAATTATTGACACTGTCTCTGCAGTTCACTCTCTACTACCATTGCTTGGTCTGTTAAAGTCTCATGTAAAGCTCGTCTTGGTTGGTGCACCAGAAAAGCCATTTGAATTACCAGCCTTTCCTTTGCTTATGGGTGAGCATTTGAGATTGCTTTAATAAATAGCAAAACATATATTTTACCTAAGCAATAGAGGCATTGCATTCCACATTTAGGTTATTAGGCTGGTAGTGTTTTTGTTCTACACAAAGAAAGCAGAAAAATTTTTGCTTGGCTTAGATAGTGTGGCCCTGTACTTTACTTTATATATGTTGAAATGCATATATACATCCCTTTGATCCTTTCTACTGTTTAAATAAATAAATGTTAGCTAATATGGGATTCGGAATGACAGGGAGGAAAATAGTAGCGGGAAGTAACATTGGGGGTATGAAGGAGACACAAGAAATGATTGATTTTGCAGGAAAACACAACATAACTGCGGACATTGAGGTCATCCCAGCGGACTATGTGAACACTGCTATGGAGCGTCTTTCCAAAGCTGATGTTAAGTACCGATTTGTCATTGACATTGGAAACACACTGAAAGCTGCCTGGTCTTTACCCTTATGCTTCCTGAATTTAGTTTGATGTAGTGACATGGTCACCAATATGGGAGACTTTTAAGTTGTCTACTGTCTTTATTTTTTTTTGTAATGTCGGGCTTTTTGTTACCAATGTTGGAACATCTTTTCTACCGGTTACATCCTGTGTTTCCTAGCCCAACTTAATTTTTAAGTGCACTTTTGAAGATCTCAAATGCATTGCTACAAAATAGTTGACTTCACTGCTTGACATTATGTAAAGAGTGCGTGAGAAGCATTACCCAAAAAGACAAAGTCTTCACTCCTTCGTAATCAAATTAACTATGTCTGCATCTGTAGGTAACAATGTCAATGTTTGGGGTTCCATTTTTTATGCTTGAATTCTAATTGTGATATTGTGGTTAGGGGTAGTGATAAGGGGTTTGTAGAGGTGGCATCGGTATCTACAAAGGTATTCTTGGTACTTAGAGCCCCAAATGTGCTGATATCATAAGATTCTATCAACAGTTTAATGGTTGATTTAACAGAATGGGGGTCTTATATATTGTTTGAAAAAATAGGAAAAATTAGTGTAATTTTTAAATTACAAGTGGAGTCCCTGCAATTATGCAAAACTTCAAGGGAGGTAGATGTAATAATTTTATCTAAGTTAGTAGTACCCAAAAGTAACCACCACCCTCACTATCCAATTAAAAATCATTTTCAACATAATCTTCATTAACTTCCTCACATATAAGAGTTGAATAATGAAAAAAAATAAAAAAATAAATAAAAAAAGTTATTTGGGAAGAAAGGTTTTGGCTAAAATAGTCAAATAAAAATAAAATATTATTTTTTTTACATATTTTTTCAAAAAAAATCTTAAAAAATTGAATTTTTTTTTTTTTTAAAACTTTTCAAAATAGGCCAAAATAGGTTAAAATAGCTTAATAGAACAAAATATCACATTCAAATTATAATCATTTTATTCTTTCTCTCACAATCATTAAATGAACTAAAAAAAAATCAATTATTTTCTCAAATACAATTTTTTTAACTAGACTAAAATAATAAAAAAGTCAATTAAGTTGCCATTTGGAAGCAATTTTTTTTGCCTAAAAAGACAAAATAGACTGAGGCCTCGTTTGGGAATATATTATTTTAGTAACTTTTTTGCTTTTTAACTAAAATATGAGATTAAAAAAAAAACTAATATGTTTATAATGACTTTTTGATTTTTTACGAAAAGATATGCAAAAAGTAGAGAGAATGGAATCTTTGGTAGTGTTTGGTAGAGTTTTAGAATTATGATTTGAGAATAGAGTTGTATTTTGAGTTTGTGAGTTTTAGAATTATGATTTGAGTGCGAAAAATTTGTTTGGTTATGAGTTTTAAATTGAGTTTGAAATTTTTGATGTGACATATGATATTTAATTCAATTCAAAAATTTACAATTCATAACCAAACACACAACTCAAAATTCTATTCAAAACTCATAAAAAATTCCGGAAATATTTTTTATTTAAAATATAAAAAACAAAAAAAGAAAAGAAAAGTAAAGAGCATCATTCCAATCAATCGGCCGGATGACCGGGTAGGCCCAATTTCAAAATTCAAAACCCCGCTTGAAACAAGTTTGCAAAAGTGAGTGTAGAATTAATTTTTGAAAGTTGTATCCAAACACCGCACTCAAATATGAGTGTGGAATCATGATTAGAACTACATACCAAACACAACCTTTGACTTTTTAGTATAAGTTATAGGTTCTTTGGTTTTTTTAGTAACTTTTTGACTTTTAGATTAAAAGTGTTGCATGCCAAACGAGGCCTAAATAGCCAATAAAATAAAATGTTACGTCTAAATCATAATTATTTCACTTTATCTCTCACAATCATCACATCCAAACCCAAAAAAAAATCATAATTTCTTCCCAAACGAAGCTAATTTAGCCAAGCTAAATTAGCAAAAAAAATCAGACTAAATTAGCCAAATTCCCAAACCAGTCTAACAATTGATCTATCTATTATTTACAACAATTTCACTGACTTTCAAAAATATTTTGCAAATATTCGAAGCCAGTGACAGAGTGGCTGCATTTGTAGTTGAGACCTGAGATGCAACACCAATTTGATAACGTCTTTATTTTATCCATCTATCCACACATATTGTTTAAGAAGTCTCCCAATGCTCTTCAAATGTAACTAAACTGAAATTTTTTTGTTAAAATAACTATTGTCCTAACTAGTTCATTGGAGAAAGTTAAATAGAATGATGCTAATTATAATAGCCAGCGAGCGTATGGGGATGCTCTAAGTGGGGATCAGCCAAGGCATTAAAATCTGAGAAGAATGTATGAACCAACAGAAAATCCAGTTTAAACTCGTATCAAGCACATAATGTAAAAATGTCATATTGCTCATCCCAATTCACAACTAGAATTTCCTCAAACAATAAATAAATAAAACCAAAGTTTACCAAGGTTTTTTCATAATTTTAGAACTGTATTGCAGTTGTAGTGACACATAATATGCAAATACTGAAAGAACCAAGACATGGGATGGGAAAGAAAAGAATCCAATCAATGTTGTAGATCCTCATTTTTGCTGCACATGACTGAACTTGTTTCACCAATTTCACATGACCATATGGTAAAAGCTGGCACAAGGTCAAAAGAATTCAATCAAATATAGAAATATAAAATCAACCTTGTTACATGCATATTTAGGGAGGTTCCTGCGTTTTGATTTTGACCACATTTACTTAATAGCCATGTGACAAAGCAGTCAAAAATCAAGTCTACCACTGCTGGAAATAGGGGTTTAGAGGCGTTTAAAAAACGCCGCTATAGGTCTCAAAAACGCCGTCAAATCTTTTGGTGACGTTTAGCATCAAACGTCGAAGATGCGGCCGTCACTATAACTTTATGGCGCTTTAAAAACGTCGCTATATTACTATAGGCGGCATTTTCTAAAAAAAAAAAGATTTTGAACAGATTGGGATCCCTGGCTTAGTCGACCCAGAACAGCTACCAGACGTGCCATAAGAACTCCCACTTGAACCTTCTATGGGGGCTTGATTTAGACATTCTAAAACCAATGACCTCCACTTTTTCAGCTTCATTGAGAATGTTGTTGCCTCCAAAATAACTGGAACCTGTGGATAAGTTTGAATCAACCAACTGCAATTGAAGTAGATAATTTTCCAACAGATTAAATTAATTATTTGGTAGATCCAATAATTTGTGGGTAAAAAATTGTATTATTTCACGCTCGTACAGTTGGCAATGAGTAAAATGATAATAGAAAATAACATATGAAGTCGAAGAGAGCACTAGTGCAAAACACACTCATCTCCTACCTGGGTGTTAAGACGGGCCACTTTGTGCACATTGAGAAGGCCAACCATGTCCTGATAACCAGTGAGAAGGTTTGCCAACTCCTTGTCCTCATCTGATACAAACCCCGGTTTAAGGATTAACATTCAGCTAGTAAACCTAACAATGCTACTAAGCCAATGGCATACCTGGAATTGCTCTGACGGATAGTAAGGTGTCAGCCAAATGCTGCCATCTCTTTGCAATGGATGGTGAAACAAGGGAAGGTGGAAAGGTTATAACAGCAACTGCATTTGAAGACCGAACCATGCTTTTCAAAGATCTGATAAAGGAAAGCATTTCCCATTCCTACAATGATTATGTGTGAAAAAAGATATTGATAATGCTCATTGCGATAGCAGCAGCAGCCGCTAGAACAAGTGGTAGAAGCCAATCACTAGGATTTCCATTAGCAAAGCATAATGAAGCAGGTTTAAGCCTATTTAAGTAAAGGAAGACATTTTAGAAAGAGAAAAGGGTATAAGAGACTATTAACAATGCCACCAAAATCTCTTCGGGGTCATTCTGTTTCCCCACACCATTTCTGTTTCCACACTACAAAGGACATTAGCACACACCGCATTTCTTTTCATTCAGTAGTTCATATCTGAACCATTGGTTTTCATTCAGTACTGAGTTTCTAAATCTAAGGGTGTGGAAATTTTTAGGTGTGTGAATTGAGAAAAATTGGCACATGGAAATAGAATCTCCCATCTCTTTGCCACTAACCATATTGGAATATTCACATTGTGGAGCACAGAATGATTGAATGGTGATGCGTCCAGCAGATTTTATGTTGCCATCAAATCTGGGAACAGAACAAAGAGATGGTCAGAACAAATATCAAAACAGTTGCTTAGATAACCCAAACAGATTCCAACCACCAAAAGCAGTTGAGCAAGATGGATTTTTTAACGGACAGCATGTAATTTGTGAAGAGATATGAGGGATTAATTGAATCTGTTCCCCAATAAATATAAAGAAATATCCATTCATGTTTTCACCTTCTCCATAAATCAAAAGTGAATCATAATTTGGCAGAAGCTGCAAAACACGTGAATATTGTTTTCATACTGCCATTAGCAGCTCAAATGCATATGGGAGACCATAAGGAACTAAGAATTTTATTTTTTATTTTTATATAAAATTACATTAAAAGAGGCACCAAGGGGGTGCAACCCTTGTACAATAGGATCTATACCATCTATATATCAAATGTCTACTCAAAGGCCTCTAAAAATCCAAAAATTGGATCAAAGACAGATAAACAGCTCCTGAATCCATCTTGAAAGTAAGCCGATTCTAGCTTGAAAAGTTTGTCCAGCATATGAAATATAATAGAATTCAGCTGAAGTACAAATGCAAAATCAAGGATTGTAACCTTCAAATAGGAGTGGTGAATTCCATCCAAAACAATTGAAGCATAGTAGAAAGTGAAGCATCTTTGTTCTAAATCCTTTCAATTTTTTATGTTTTAGAATTGATGGGGAGTTTGACACAAAAAAAAAGGAAGGAATATTTTTCCCGTCTCCCCTGAAACTGTTTTTTGATATAAAGCTGCATCTCACTAGATTCTTTCTTCCATCATTTTTTTATTTAACAAAACTGTACAATTTCCATCATCATAACAGATTACATAAGACTGCTGAGTTGGGGCAACCACATACAATTGGAAGAACAATTACACAAGACTACTGAGTTGAATAACTATGTGGCAGTATTTAAATTCAACTGCGAGACAAAAAAATTGGCCACAACAGATATCTCATTTCAATCTCAACGAAGAAATGAAAACATTACTCTTTGTGCCAAAACCCTAATTATATTAAGAAACTAGTTCCTAAAATATTGGAAACAAAATCAAAATTCCTTACTAATATTTGTCTAAATAATAATGTAATTTACCAATTACATTTATTGTCCCAAAAAATTCTTCGGTCCACACAATGGAACCACAGGCTTCACCTTACGCTTCCAAAGCGGATAATGGGCCTCCAAAGAGTTAAGGTTGCACCATCAATTCTCCTACACCAAAAAGAACTCAATTCCAGCAAGTTAGCAGACCGACCAAGAATTCCATCAGAACAAGGAGCTGTCGGTGGGCACAAATAAGGGTGTATTCTGTAGAGCCATCAATGAAAGAGTAGATGTTAGCACGGACCGCATGAGTGACATCACAGCTCAAATCTATGCCTGAAGAATATGACAGAGCTTAAGAGGCAAAACATCACATATGACCATCTCTTTGTGCTTGTCGATGTTGAATGTCACGTGACTGATTAAGGCCGAATTGTGCAACACTGAGGCCGTTAATTTCAATCTCTTAACTCTGCTTGCTTGTCAAACTATATATTTTATGCATGTTTAATGTCAATCAGGTTATACATAGTGGGAGCATAAAATGAGCAAAAATGCAAGACTTGTGGAGAAAAGTGTTTCTCGCACATGCGGTAGCACCTCAAAAATCGTGCTGCTGTTTTAAACCTGTTTGAAAGACAACAGAGGTATAAAAAGAAGAAAGGGAGAATGGATTAGGGTTCTGAAATTTTGAAGGAGAAAGAGGAGGCTAGGGTTTGGAAAAAGGTGATTCTCAATCTTCAAAGCAAATTCCCATGGAGGGTTCCATCTCTTCCACCTCTTCCCACTCCTCCATGAGTGGCTAGGCTCTTCTTTTCTAGGGTTTTGATGAAACCCTAGCTATGTAATTAGGTTTTCTTTTTGGTTTTTGATTATGTAAAGGTTTGAACAATTGTATGGTGTTTTAGAAGTTTCATATATATATATTTTCCACTATTTCTTCAAGTATTCGGCTTTCTGTGATTGTTGAATGCTTTCCATACAATAGTTTTCTATTCTTTCATGTTCAAGGTATGAGACGAACCATACTATGAGGGACGAGTCGTGTCGTTACCATAGTTTAGAGCGAACGATTCATACTACTTGAGATGGTTCGTGCCCGTACATTGAACGTGATGATTTTCTTGACAAATGCTTCGAACTTGTAGTTGCGAAGTATTATTCTGTTCGAACCATAGCATAATTGATTTCAAATTGAAACCTTATTTACATAACTAGTGGTGAACTCATCGCCCTAGGTTTTTCCCCAAATCAGTAAATTCATCTTTATTTATAATGGCTAGTTTATTAGCTTATTTAATTTAATCATTATTAGGTTATGAACAATCAATCTTTTTATCAAAATTAATTTAGGAATTTAACAATTAAAATTAGTTTAATTTCCCAATTGTCCCTCTGGATCGATACTTGGACTTACTATTATTTTAAGGAATTTGGTATAATTTAGTGTTTAATTTTGGTGAGTTGACCTTGAGTTTAGTACTGAGGAAAATTAGGTTCAAGATACAACTCCATTTTCAAACCCAATTCCTTCACGGCTTCTTCAGACACAACATTAGTGCAACTCCTAGTATCAGTCACCAAAGAATACACTTGATCACCAATTCACCCTTGTATCAAAAATCTTGACTCTTTGTAGCTTTCCGGGTTCTTTTATGGCTTGTTTTGTAGAAGCCAACAATGGTCAAAAAATACCAAACATATCATTAAGGAGATCATCATAGGATTCCGAATCAAGGGGGTCAACAACCTGTTCATCAAGCTTTGTTTCTCAGATTCTTTTACCTCCCAAAGTCTTCATTTTCAATAACTGGTTTAATTGGCACATTAATCTTGGGAGAAAGGCAATCTTGAGCTTGATGTCTAAAACGTGGACAATTAAAACACTTGGGCTTAATGTTATCTCAATACAAAGATTGAAAAGGACTTGGAGTAGAATGGGAAGGCCGATTAGGAAGTTTTCTATAAATGAGTTTCACAAAAGTTTTCCATTTGAAATGCTACTTGGATTGCATCTTCTGTATGTAAATTCTATTAGCAGCCAATCCACCAAAGAGTTTCAGATTGAGTTGCGGATTGAACCCCTAACAGTACATGGAAATCATGTCATCTTCAATCGATGAGAACTTGGACCTGGTAGCCAAATTGTAAAACAACCAACGATAGTTATCCATGGACTTAATCCCAATTATGTCTAGCTTCATTATGTTTTCACTGATATTTAGCCTACCAAATTCTAGATGTTCACTTCAAATTTTCTCCCACAAAAAAAATATTTTCTTTCCTCTGTCGTGTGATACCGACAAAAAAAAAAAACCTCTTGAAACTGTATGCTGCATCTCATAAGAGGAGATTTAGTGTGGCCCACATACATATTAATATTTGTAAATTATATATATTATATTTTATTTATATATTTATCCTTATATGTATATTTATCTTTTGATAATTATGGGTAATAATTATTGAAGTTATATCAAGAACTCTAAATAGTGGTTTGGCTAAGGCCTATCAATTTCCACTAATTAAGTTTCCTTGATGGAAAGAAACTAGCAAGGTTTATCTGATAATTTATCTATCTGATAAGGGTCCCTGACCTAGCAGTTATAAATAGGCCTGTGGTTTTCCATCAATGAGGCACTCAAGTTCTACATAGGTTAGAAGACACTTATTCATAAAGTGTAAAGTGAGTGATATAATATTGAGAGGTTCATAAGAATTACACACATCACACAACTTGATCAACAATGGCTGGAGGAGGTTAGTATAAATTTTATTCCGCTGTATATCCATACATATATGATTATATTATATGTGTATGATTTTCCAACATTGTGGTATCAGAGCTTATCTCCAAATCCATGTTGATCAGTATATAGATTCAATATATATATATATATATCTCATTGACGTTCTTATAAACTTTTTTTTTTTTTTTAAGTAAATAATTCTTTTGTTAATTGAAACAAAACAAATGCATAGATGTCTAGTTGATAGTTTTTTTTTTATTATTTTTATTTTTTTATCAATAGAGAGGAGAATAAATTACACTATTAAAAATAATTACATCATTTGATAGATTACTAGTTTACAATAGTTAGAAAGTCAACAAAATCTAATAATTAATCCACGAAACTCAACAAGCCCAATAACATGTATCAAATTCTTCTCCATAGAAGTTGAAATCAATATCTCACACTATAAAAGATACTACACAATTTAAGTAGACAATTCAGAGAAATTTTTTAGTCTTTTTCTTGTTATATATTATGGGAAAATTTTACAGAACTCTACATCTTCATGTGATCAAACGGGTTTGAGTGTTGGAGAGAAGTGACACACATAATTCGCAATTGTAATCCGTCCAATTTTACATATTTGAAACATATTTTAACTAATTGAAATCTATATATATACTGTTTCAATTAGGTTCCATCTTACAAACCCAATTGAAACTGAAAATATATGAATTTGAGATGAGTCTTGTTGAGTTTGGATAAAAAATAAAATAAAAAAGGAACACCACAACACCACCACCGCGGCCACCACCACCACACTTCTCATAAAGTAAACACAATGGTTGGATTTTGTCTGATTGGTACCCAATCAACTAACTAATAAAACACAAAGAAATGTAAAATGTCATTTTATTTACTGGCATAAAACTTGTGCATGAATACCTTAGGCTAAATTTATGGTCTAAATAAATGTCTATGGTTCTAAAACTTCAAATTCTGTGTAATTCAATAAAAAAATGAAGTAATATTTTAATTTTTATTTAAAAATAAATAAATAAATAAATTCAACCTCACACCGAAATTGAACATGTTGTTGCTTCTCTCCAACAAATTTTCCGGCGAAATTCCGCCGGAGATCGGAATATGCTCGTCGCTGATACGGTTCAGAACCAACGAAAACAAACCCACTGGTTCGATTCCACCGCAGATTGCGAATTTGACGAATCTGAGTTTTCTGGACCTCGGATCGAATCGGCTCACCGGAGTCATACCGGTGGAGATCTCCGGTTGTCGGAATCTGACTTTTCTCGATTTGCACTCCAACTCAATCGCCAGAAACTTGCCGGAGGATTTGAATCAGCTTGTTTCGCTCCAGTTCGTCGATGTTTCGGACAATCTCATTGAAGGGACGTTGAGTCCGAGTCTCGAATCGCTGAGTTTGCTCACCAAACTCGTCCTCACGAAGAACCGGTTATCCGGTCCGATTCCTCCTCAGATTGATTCATGTTGGAAGCTTCAGTTACTGGACCTCAGCAAAAACGAGCTCTCCGATTAGATTCCGGCGGGAGTG